TATATAATATATAAAGAGAGAGATAGAGAGAGAAAGAGAGAGAGAAAGAGAAGTATACTTTATTTCTCTCGTTACTATCAGTTCTCAGTGCAATTTGCTCGTATTTACTTCAAGATGAAGACGTAAGGTTAGCTCGATCTTGATCCTCCCTGAGATGGCTATTGGAATTTGAGAACACACTCAATACACATTGCAGCGTTAAAAAAGTGTTGACTAAACTTATGTTTGGGCTTTTATTTCGAATTTTAGCTTAGACTTGTTAACAGTGAGTAAGATAATAATATAGGAGTTTTGCACGCTCATAGTCATAGACACAATTTTAGAACAATCAGGATTCAGACTTTCTGTCTTGATCCTCCTTGTCAGGACCAACCCTGGCTGACAGGAAACCATTCCAACAGAATGTCCGAGATACTCGATAACAATTCTTCTGTTGTATGAGTGAAGACCTAATAATACGTCCAGAAAATGAACGAGCTTTCTGTAGGCTAAGCTATAGAATGTACCCCTATTTCTTCCAATCACCAGCTGCTTGTTTGGTGGACAGGCGGGCTTTCACCTAAACCCAGAAGTAGCTGGTGATTGGAAGAAAGAGGGGATGTAGTCTGTAGTCTTGATGGGCACACCCAAACAGAATTGTTACTGACTGCTAGGGTAAAAACAGGTATTGTATTTCAACTACTGACTTCCCAAGAGACAGTTTTTAACCTTAGCAACAAGTAACAATAATTCTGTTTGGAGGTGTCCTTCAAAACAACACGATTCCTCATACTTACAAAAGACCGATCGGCTGAAATGACACTTACAACATTTTTGTTTCTGGTTGTGCGATCACTCATCGGCAATAGTTCAGTCAGATCTAGAAATAAATATATTATATATGATGATGTACGTGTATGTGTAACGACGCATAGGCATTAGGCGCTCGTCATGTAGGTATATAAAACATCATTTGCAATTATTGGTATCTCTCTGTTGGTATCATCTCAAAAGCCTTTTCATTTTCTTTGCTTCTTATTTAAAACATACTTATCTATCTGGACTAAAAGTCAAAATGTAAAATATTATATATATTTTGTAAGTGTATTACGGCGCTCACAACTGCAGGTCACATGAGCGCGCAGGACACATTAAACATTTTCAGTAGGTAGGACATTTTGAATTTTGCCCGGGAGGAGACTAAAACCTACTTTTGGAGATATTTGAGATTAAAGAAGGTGGGTGTGCTTGTCGTGTCAGCAGAGTGCCTCATATCACCATGATGACTAACATTGTATTACTAGTTTTAAATTTCAATTTAAAAAATGTAATGCCTTGTTATTATTATTCGTAGCAATAGCCTCAAAATTAGCAAAGTTTATGAGTAAATAACTTGTTTAAATTATTTATTATTGCATATTATTAACAATTTTTTTTTCTTACTCCGCGATTGTTCATGTTCTTTTTGTTTTCCACCTTGCGTTCCTTAATCTTTAACCTTTTTACTCATTCCAGATACGAACTGATGAATACTAAATAATTGCCATCACCAGACCCCCCCCCCCCCCCAAAAAAAAAAAAAAAAAAAAAAAAGATCAGGTCTTTTCTGCTTTGCTGGTCACACTGAGATTTAAGATACGCTCGGTTGTTCCCCTTCACCTAGTTGTTTGTCTTAGACTTGTCTAGAGTTAGTTGTTGACTTGTCGTATGACCGTCGTGATGACTCGCTGCGTCTTGACAGTGCAAGGAACAGTATTCTTCTTCTGCCGTACCTACTACCAACGTGTTTGTCTTACCTTTTTACGGTAGTTACAAAACGATAAGGTCACAATAAGTGTGGAAGATTAGGAGGTGTTACTTGAGAGTTTGGGTTAGTAAGAGTGTTACGGCACTTGCAACACAATAAGGTCATATAAGTGCCGAAGATTATAGTTATTGCAAGAGAGTAACGTACACAAAAAAAGAAGGAGAGGAGATAAAGACGATGGATGTTTGATAGGAAAGAAGAAGCAAACCACACCAGAGAATCCACCAACAACCCACATTAATACAATGTATAGAGTAACCAACCACCAAAAAGAAGGTGGAGAGATAAGGGCGACCGACATTTGAAGGAATGCAGCAGCAAACCACATCAGGGCATCCGCCAACCTTCCAACCTGTTTTTCTGAGCCCCATCTGATTGCCTCTCTTCACGATTCGACAGCTGGTGGTATGCGTCGTTGCTGCTGTCAACCAGGCCTAATTAAATTATGCTGTAAGTATTCTCTACTTTTTTCCAGTTGTCACGATGTTTTTCGCGAATCAGTGGTCGCCCATGTGATGTTCTGTACGTATTTCAAGGTCCTGCCAACTCAATTTAGATAATAGTGGATGATTGGCGGGTGCTCTGGTGTGGTTTGCTCCTTCTTTCCTGTCAAACATCAATCGTCCTTGTCTCTCCTCCTTTTTTGTGTATGTTACTCTCTTGTAACACATCTATTCTTTGGCACTTATATGACCTTATTGTGTTGCAAGCGCC